CCCCCCCCCCAAAACCTCCAAACAGAAAAAAAGGCACTAGAAGAGTGTTTTCACCAAATTGATGGATGATAATTTAGAGTAGAAGTATGACTACCTGTTAATGGATTTGATCCTAATTTAAGAAAAGTAGGGGAAGGGGAATCATGAAGCAGCCTTTGGAGTTCCCATTAATAATGATGGATGAGTTGAATTTTTGTATGTTGCCTTTGGTATCAGTTGATTTTTCCCTAGGGTGGTCTAGTTACTTTTTTGCAAATCTTGATAAAGCTTTCATGCACTTTGCTACTGAAATTTGGTCATTGGAATTTCATGTTGCATTGCTTGATTAACTCCTTTTTCCACCTGTGGTTTGTTGCAGGTACTTGAGTGAGCTGTTGGACAAGCACCGTGAATGCAGCCGATGAGTGCAAGTGGCAATAGACTGGTAGATGATGTTAAAGCTTCTTTATTTTGATTAGGAGAAATAAGAGATTCTCCTTGTTCTCTTTTTTAGAAGAAACGTGGTAATTGTGCAATTTTGAGCATGATTATTTATCAGGGAGTCACTTTATATATTTAGGTTTCCTTCTCAAGGTTAAGGTGTAGTCCTATAATTTTGAAATGATCTTATTTTTAACTGAATTGTTCTTATATCATATTTCTTTAACTTACGTTTCCTATCCCGGAGGTGTTTTGGAGAACATGCGTGCCCACTGTAGTTCTTTCTGGATCTAACTTACCTGCTCATCTTTTTATGTTCTGCTTTGGCCATATAAACAAATAGGGGGAGAATTACTCTTTGGCGTGTTCTATGGTTTAATTTTAGGGCAGAGTGGCTTCTTGAAACACCACCTCCTTTATTGTCTCTTGTACAAAAACGTTGGAAACCCGTGTCCTCATAAGATCTGATTTCTCAGGGAAATTAGTTGGCTTCTTGAAACACCTTTTCCTTTTTATCCCGGATTATTGATTATTGTCTCTTGTACAAAAACGTTGGAAACCCGTGTGTCCTCGTAAGTTCAGATTTCTCAGGGAAATTAGTTGGCCTTGAGATCAAATTCAAATGTTTCGTATTGGGGTCTGAAATTAATAAACTTTCTTATGCAATAAGGTTGGAAGCCCATCCTTGTGTGCATACCATCTTAATGAGTGAAGGCATGTAAGTGGGCTTAATTTTTGCCGAACAGAGGAGTTGGCTTAGACCTTTGCTTACGGTGCGGCCTGTTTCATCTCTCTTTATAGAATTATAGCAGCCAGGCCGTTGCTGTTAAGAGTCATTTCACCGTTTGGGACATATTGCCGCATCCGGTTTGGTCGTCTTTCTTAATCCACTAATCTTTTATGGTATTTATCATATACTGTATCTTGCTTTTTTGTCTTCCATTTTCACTGGTACCTTGGTCAATTTGATTTATCTGATATAAATGTTCAAGGACTTGATTGGAAGAGTAAAGAGCCGAAAGGTTTACCGTTTGCATTGTCGAGGTTCTTCAAAGGAGCTAGTTCTTTTGTTATGGCTGGAAGCTGCCTACGTTCTTAAGACTTGGCGGTAGCATAGGACTTGTTTCTCGGTTAAGCGGTGGCATTGAATATGATCAACCATTAAACCATCCCATATCATACTAGAGTTCTATGCAGTTGGTTAAGCGGTAGCATTGAATTTGATGCATTGGTGGGCAATTTTTTAAATTGAACATATACTACAGCCAATGCAACATGAGGGCACCCTGGTTTGCACTTTGCACACCCACCCACCAGTCCGGCTTTGGTCAGGCCAAAGCCCGTTCCAACAGCCTTACGTTGGGAATATCTGTACTTAAGTGATTTATTTCATGGGAGATACTCCCAAATGCAAGGTTTCTAGGAGCTGCTCCAATGGTGCGAGCACTGACTTGCCCTCACAAAAGCTGAACTCTCCACCCACACGACCGATTTACATGTGCATGTGCATCAGCCATGCAAATGTTGCACAGTGAATCTGCTGGCTCTTCTTCTATGCACATTGCGGTTTGTACTTACACATGGAGACAATTTTGGGAAATGAAAGAGCTCCCTCCAAAAGTTCAAATCTTCATGTGGAGATGCCTCACACATGCTCTTCCTCTTCGGGCCTTTCTTGCCAAATTCTCTATTAAGATTAATCCATATTGTGCATTCTCTATTAAGATTGGTAGACCCGGAACTATCAGCAGCGTTAGCTTTCAAGGAAGGTTCAAGACCTTCAATTCACCCATATTCACTTAGAAGGAGATGTGCAGAAGTTCATCATGGTCTTGTCCGATGCTAATTTAGACATCCCCTGGTGTATACACACTGTTGTAGCCGATTGCAGATCTCTTTTAGGCTATTTCCAACACTCTATTATCTCCTTTGCCCCATGTACGGGTAATATTGTGACCCACACTTTGGCAAAAACTGGTTGTAATTTCTCGCAAATTATAACATGGTCACTTTTTTCCAGATTTCCTAAAACCTGCACTAGATGTTGATATGATGCAATAAAAGATTTGCCCTTCCAAAAAAAAAGAAAGAAAAACTGCATCATAGGGGCCTAAGATCACAGAAGACATTACAGTTTACACCCCCTCTATATGCACAAAGCTGTCTGTGTACAGTTTGTCAGTTTGTCAGTTTGTCCATTAGTGATATTGTACCAAGATGATCAGGGAGTAGTTGGTGGCGCCACTATTACCCATATTGAGATCGTCCATAAACAAGGTGCAATTTGACAGCTTAAAGTCTTAAATTGGTTTTACAAGGGAAAGGGGTTATGAAACAGCAGTTTTAAGGGATAAAATGGGATGTGATATTTCAGCTCTGTTTGTTTGTAATTGCATCTTAAAACAGCAGTCTTAAGGTGTAATTTGACAGATTTAACCGGCTCCATTTGTTTGAATGCAATTTCATTTGCTTTAATACAAATTCATGAAACTACAAATGAGAAAAAAAATGCAAAATCTGGTCCACCTTTGATACAAGTTTTACTTCTATAATGCAGACATGCAAAACTAGGCAAAATCTGAAACAAAAGTTAAGCAGAGTCTGCACTAAAACCATTTGCACTTTCGCGGCTTTGCATAGATGAAATTGCAAAGGGGCAAGAATGAGTCAATTTGCTTCCCAGGTTTTTGGATCCAGAGCCTATCCTATCAAGATCAGTTCAAGGCATGCTTTGGTCTTAGTGGTTCCAGGGTCTACCTGTGGAACCTGTTCTTTCTATACCCCCCCCCCCCAAAAAAAAAAAAAAAATGGAACTTGTTATTTAAAATTTTGTAAATAACAATAACAATAATAATAATAATAATAATATAGTTCAAAACTTATCATCGTAATTTGAATTTTGTAAATATTACTTTTTACAGTACTTATTATACACAAATATTAAATTGAAGAAAAGTAGTCTAATTACTTAAGTGACTCACCTAATGGTTAAGTGAAATCATGTCTATATAACAATGAATGCTTGGGTTCAAATCTTCACATTTTCAAAGTATTTTGGGTTTTTTTTTTCCTTTTTTCAAGTCAAATTCAATTCCAAGACCAGTTCCACCAAGGCCAACCAAAGCTAATTCTGCCAATTTGGATAGGGTAAACCCCTAGACCCTAAAACTGGCCTGGGTAGGGTCAGTTCCAAGAATTTGGAACCAGACCCTACTTGGTAATAGATTGGATGGGTCAATTCAAGACTGATTCAGGCCAATTTCATTTGGTTATGGATAAAACCTACCCATTTGCTCATCCCTATTGGTTGAACTGCTTGTTTTTAGTTGTTACAGCAGCCCTTTCCTGTCATCCAAACTAACTTATGCTTGTTTTAACTCTGGGTTTGTTAGTGGATGCAACTTGGACCTAGTTAGATTGGAAATATGTTATTATCTAAAACGATGTACTTGAAATTCTTCACATCGAGCAGCCCTAATTAGAAGCTGGGTTCGAACTCCAGACTCACTGAGCCACGGACCAGCAGAATACGCATATCACCCAGATGGGTAATTATGATAAATATTAATAATATTAACATTCAAAAATTGGAATAGTATGTATGGTAACAATACTGCTCTAAATGTTTCCAGTCTTTTGAGATTTATTGCAATTTGCAAACCTTCACCCATCAAAAGGCAACTTTGCAGTGAAAAGTGAAAACATTTTCTGCATTGATTAAATGACTCAATAAAGGAAGCCCTTTACTTGATAAACCCTGGGGCCTGGCTGAAAGAGGGAGAGGAACAGAGCTTGGAGTTGATGGTCAGCATGACAGCACTTAGAAAGTAGGTACCTAAAAAGGGACCCATTAAGGTAGGGGAAAATAGTAAACAGAAAGCATATAGAAAGCTTAGCTCGGCCATTGGGGGACAAGGTATGGAGCAGGAGCTTATTGAGTCTACCCCATATCATATGCAATGTTAAGGGTTTGACAAAGATATATGGACGGTGGCCACGGCATATATAGTTCTTTCTGTGTTGGGGGGACCATGTGCAAGTTGGACCTGGTCGTCCATACTGCGGATGAGGAGATAACGATAGACTTTAGCTGATGCATGTGGAATCAAGCGTTTTGGGTTTTCTCTTTGAAATCATTCGTTTTCGATGCCAATCACCTGGCCCCACTGAGCCAATTGGTGCCTAATTTATTGTGGCATCCCAAAATTTCTCTCCAGTAGTTGATGAAAACCTTCTTGAAATGACTCTGCTAAGCAAGATTCTGTCAAGCTCAAGAAACAGAAAGTTAAAAAGGGACCTCCCCCTTATCCTGTCAAGGGAACCAGATCCACAAATAACAAGATTACTTCAAGCGGGTTTCTTTCACTTTAATGAATTGAGTGATGAACAAATATTTATCGTTCATACTCTGATTTGACAATCACCCAACAAGAAGACCCTCGAGAACATTTCACAAGAAGCCAGCCAATCAGAGTTCTTGCTTTGGAGATTATTGGGTCTATCATCCTTTTGCTTCCCATCTTCTTGCCTAAGAAAACAACCTTGGAACCCAATCTTGAAAAAGGCAAGTGCACAGTAGAGAGATACATTGTGTTTCCACTTGATGATTGCTTTGCATCATCATAATTTATTGTTTCTTTATAGCGTTCTAACTTCCAAGTGGCATATCCATGGCATCAGCTTGCTTAATTGAACCTTATCATTCTATCCTCAAAATTAGTGCCTGGATTCTGGACACAGACGCCTTGTGAGTGGATACGAATCCATTAAATGCTTAATACCCAATCTCTTTACTTTTGACCACCATTCTGATGAAGTGGTAACTGTCGGTTCTGCTATTGACTAATGCACATGTCTGAGTCCCGGTTAGAAAAGTTCCTCAGATTAGAGATTATTGTGTTTTTGGGAAGTAGAGGGTTTCAACAATTACGTCAAGCAATTGAAAAGTGCAACAAAAACAGACATACTTTTCAATATGGACTTCCAAAAGATACGATGTGAGAACTACAGGTTGTCCATGTGCATGCACGGAATGTTCTCTCTATTTTTTTATGGCAGTCTTCTCAGTTCTCAAAGTTCTTAACCAAATCTTTTGCTGAATCCTCTGTAGGAATGTAATTTCTACTACCATATTTGAATTATGCCAATTTGGTAACTATTACCAAAGCACTAATAAAAGATAATTCATTTTTGAACTTAATATTTGGGAATCTCTATATTAATCTTAATCCACATTGAGGCATTATTGTTATTATTATTATCCTTCTTTTTTCTTAACCACCTCTCTCTCTCTCTCTCTCTGATTTTTTATTATGTGTACGGTAAAACCTAACCTGATATTTCAATCTAATGTTCTAGATTTATTGCATTGAAAAAACGGCTTGACCCATTCAACCCAGACGTACGGTTGAACCAATGAACTGCCACCCAGGAAAAAAGAAAAAGGGATCATCCACCGTTCCCAGTTTTAAAACAGTGATCATGATGATTTACAATATACTTCATTTATTTTTCATATTTTAACCAATGTTGCAAAGAGAGTTGCTAATGGCGTTGGGTTACAAAATTTCAGGGGCTATAAACCATTAAACAATGAAAAGTCAATTAACCAAAACAATACTATTGCCAGATTGCCATTCTCCTTTTGAAAAGTTCACCAATCAAATTATAGGGAGGAGTAGCCCAAGCAAAAAAGATGTTGTCTACAGCAGCTCCCTTCTTCTAAACGAAAGCCCAATGGATGAGACAAGTCTCTCATTCAAGCTCTTGACTCCTTGTTCCCACACCGCAATTATTTTATCATAAAGAAGCTTCAGCATCAAACCTGCCATAAATGTCATCGTTGTTGTTGTTGTGATTTATATATTATTGAACAAACAGAAGAACAAGAAACAGGCACCCTTTATGCGAACGGGGCTCCTCTTGTCTTCTCTTCCTTGTTTAATAACAACAAGATTCTGTGAGAAAAAGTACAAGTGACCCCAAATGGACTTCTGCTGTACACACGTAAACTGCTCACTACTTGTTTGACGAAGGTCAAGAAGCCCCACATGAAGACTCCTGCATGGATATCTTTGTCTTTGTTGTAAACAATCAAAATGAAACGCAACTACACATCTCTCCTTACTTTTTATCGCCATTATTGCCGGTTCTCTGGGCCCCTCCAGGCTCCACCCCAAAGACATTAAAAAAAAAGATGAATTATAGCATCGCCACTCATTTTGATAAATCTGTAGTGAAGTTTATCATTTACTTGCTCATTGCACCACAAAAGGCTTTTTTCTCTTTGTATATAGAAATTACAGCTTCCTCAGCGAGGTGACACTACTTTTTGCATCTAATTTTCACTTACCTACTTGACGTGACCGCATGAAAGAGTTATACCAAGTTGAGATGCTACCTTTTATAACTCAGTCCATCCCAGAAATCTGAACCCCACCGTACAGGTGGGATGAATCTGATGGTGGATCGATATCAAATCTACGGTTAGGATGCGATTTATAAGGGTGCTACTGATAGATTAGGAGGGGACTATAATTACAAATTTCTGGAATGGACTGCAGTCTATTTATCCCTACAAGAACTATATAGAGGTACCTGGTTGACAGGTTACCTATTCGTTTTATTCCTTGGATCAAATGGTCCATGATTGGCCAAACCACTAGTTTTGCGCAGTCTGGATTGATGAAGTAGATTCTCTGTCTCCAAACCCTATATTGTTCACACCCGGCATGTATCTAATCTAGTCAGGGAAGCAGAACATTAATGGCAGACAGTTGATGTAAATTATAAGATTGTGATTTGACCGGTGATGTAATTATTGCTGTATCGTGAACCTAGTATTATTATTAGTTACTCCAAGGAGAACAGCCACGTAAAAAGTGGTGTGATGTGGAGATGAAAAAAATATGAGGGAAAAGTTGATGTTCTCAATATTCCGAGGCTTGACATGGGCACAGTAAAAGATGATATAAGCATTGTTCCTGGAGTACCAAGCATCACCAGTGGGTGCTATTGGATAGAAATGAGATAAAATGAAAAAATCTCAATTTCGTTTTTCCCTCCATTTGTTCTCCCTGTTGATATCACCCTTTTTAAGAGCAACCACCAACCAGCCAACAAAGCCTCTAATCTTTCGAGTTTCAACTTAAACACCCTTGAGAACTCTTCTACTCTTTCCAAATTCCGAATTAATTTGTTAGAGGTTTGAGATCCTTACTCTGATTTTAGGGTGGTAGTGACAATGATCAAGCAGACTGAAGAAGACTCAACAACCCAGATGTCAACCAACAACCAGAAAGTCGAATTAAAGAGCAGAAACAACAATGATGGCGGAATGGATAGGGAAGAGTGGTTGAATTTGAGCCTCGGTAGAAGTGAGCCATGCAACAGGAACTTGGATCCACAATCAAAGCCCGCTTCCAACAAGGTCTTCTCGTGCAACTTTTGCATGAGAAAATTCTTCAGTTCACAAGCTTTGGGTGGTCACCAGAACGCTCACAAGAGGGAGAGAGGCGCAACCAGAAGATTCCAATCTCACAAGATGGCGACAACGGTGAGTTTGCCCCATAATGCATCACCCATAATGCAATCACTGGGAGCCCGGCCTCACTCGCTGGTGCACAAGCCAAGCAAAGAAGGAACTGGGTTGGTAGCACGGTTCAACAATCCCAACTCGGGCTATGGGATGGCTTGGGCGCCATTCACTTTCGAAGAAGCAATGGATATGATGTGGCCGGGGAGCTTTCACCTGGACCCTAAACTGTCTATACAACCATCAGAACTACAAAAGATAGATTTGAATCTCAGTCTTTGATCCATCCATCCTGTCAACTAAATCAGGTTTCTCTTTTATTTCCTGTCTAGCTACTGTATGATTTTGGCATTTTTTTTTCAACCATCGACTAAAGAAGCTAATGTAATTAGTTGAAGAAGTTTGAAGTTTCAATTCTCATCCATTTTCGGTATCGTATATTTATGTATCTGTCAATTCGGTCGTTCAGTGAGCTTCCCAAGCCACCTAGGAAAAAGGTTCAAATATCAATACATCCGATACGTCTGAACATGCGTATCGAGGCGTTTCAGGTGATTGATACATTTTTTTTCATATTTTTTATAAGGGGCTTATAATATTTCTATTTAATGTTTAAAACCACCATAATTTCCAAAATCCTAAAACCAAGAGTTTGAGTGACCCTCCAAAGCGATACAGTATGCCTGGTATTCATACTTTTTTTTTAATTAATTGTACGCCTGAATCCCCTATGGTTGCTATAACTACTGTTATCCTTTTTTTTTTGGGCATAGTACAGCAACACACTAACAATTATCCTCTAAATTCAGGGGTAACAACAGGTAGCAGGACTCCAATCAGCATCTCTGATGGGACTCGATATCCATACTTTGAACATTGATAGACTTCCCTGTGCTCTTCCCAGAATACATTATTTGCTAAATGCTCAAAATAAAGCATCTAGTAAGCAACTTATATGCTAATGTTAAATATTAAAAGTTTGGACGGCTATAATCCATCCGATAAAACTCCAATACAAATTTGGTTATGGGATTGACGTGGATTGTAGGATTGTGCACATTTCGGGGTTTCTACCTCTTAGGCAGTCTTAGATCAGCTACATAATTCTTCCCATCCAATCACAACTGTAAGTCAACTCAGGACATGAAGTTGAAATGACTGGCGAAGGTGCCATCATTCCTTCAGAGTTATGTTTAACAGAACTAATATAAAAAAACTTATTTTGCCTTTATTAATTCTTCAATTTTTTTTAATCATGAATTGTCTCTTAAAAAAAAGTGATCTCACTTTGGCTTGCCCTTATAGTCTTGTACATGGAGGTCCTCATTGTCATATATTCCGTGATCTGTAATTACGCTTCTACCGTCATTGCCATCACACCCAAAGGGTTCGGTCAACTGCCAATCTGAGCCTACACACCACTATATTCTTCAGGAATTGAAACATATTCCAAAGATCCATTGACAATTATCAAGAGACCGGACATCGTGTGAACAATGATTTCATACGGTTTTGGATCTAAAGAGAGATTTCACAGAGGGGGTCAGAAGATTTTGATCAATAAGTTGTATTAAAGTCCAGATCGACTGTGGTGGTGCTACTTATTTGGAGAAGAAGAAATACTAAGTTTTCAACCCGCAAGTCTGTAACAAAATAGCCAAATGAGAGAGAGAGAGACCAGATAAATGAAAGAAAAGACGAAGAAATAAGAATTTCAATAAAAAAACAATTTATTTTTAACTTATTGTTATTAGTGGGAATTTCGATGTTCAAGTTTGAAACACGCTCCCATGGAGGTTGATGGATAACCAAAGTATCAGCATGTTGACTTTGGATCACCTGCCCACATCTACCCACAACACACTACCCCCATGAATTGAGAACATCTCCCCTTGCATAATATTATGTAGGAGGATGAGATGTTCTCCATGTGTGGCTGCAATATATATGGATAGACATGGGCAGAATTTGTATGGGTAGAAGATTCAGACTTGTTTATTGCCACCTCAAGGTGAGAGGCAGAGCCAAGACACCTAACCTCTACTAAAAGGTTACCACCTCTATTTTTGAGAGGCTTACGCCTCAATGCCTTGCACCTCAAATTGGTGAGGTGTAAGCTTCCTATAAAAAGCATTAAAACTGAAAAAAAAATATATTATAAATTAGCTATAATATTTCTTAACATTTAAGAAAATTGATTATTTAATTGTTTATAAATAAAACAGACCAATCTATACTAAAAATTTTCACATAATACTTCTTTTAAACAAAAAACATATCATTTGTTGTTCTCTTACCAAAGTACATGTTAAAATAGGGTTTCTTTTCCCCGGATCTAATTATAAAGAACAAAAATACTAGACAACCCCCCCCCCTTTTACTAGTTTTAATTCTTCATCACTTATAAATTAAATGATATTGAATAAAAGATCTAAAAATATATAAATTAAGTACAGCTATTTTTCTTTAGTAAAAAAGGGTTATAAATGTAAAATAAAAGTATCACATTAAAAAGAACATTATTTAATAAAAAATAAATATATAAATTGACTATGAAAGAAAAAATATGATTAATTTTAAGACAAAAAAAAATGAATATAAATATAAAATTTCTATAAAATAAATAAACTGTACCCTTACTACATAAAATATTACAAATAATTTCAGTCTACATGTTTATAAAATTTTAAAAAACTTAAGGCTCGTGTTAAAAAAATGTGTAATGAAAAGAAAACATATATAAGTTGAGTATAAAATGAAACAAATTGTGTCTATATACGGATATATGTACAAACATTATATTTATATACATAAAATTAAAAATTATATTTATACTGAGTCATACGTCTCAAATCGCCTCGAGACTTACGCCTCACCTCTTTGGCACCCAACCACCTTGCATCCACCTTTAACCTTTTAAAACCTTGGGGATCATAAAGGGTAAAATTGGGTTTAAAAAAATTAACCTACACAAGATGTAGGGAGGAATGAAAATCTTTTACCCATTATACAACTGTACAATTTCTTCAAATTTGTAGAACATAAATAAATGAATAGATTTCTTTTCTCAAAAAAAAAAATGAATAGACTTCATTTCCTTGTGAAATTACAGGCTGTCATCCAATATGTTAGGGATAGTGACACTTAACCCGTTGATCTTTCATTAGAGACAAAGGCCCACCCTGAACTTTCAGATTGGAGCATTTTCCTCACCACTAACATTCTGTTAGTTAATTTCAAAAAAGATTCTCATTAGACTGTCATGTGCACGTTTAAAATTTTCTAAAACCCCAAACTGCCCTTAAATCATTTTATGAGTATTTTATAGAAAATTGATAAAATACAACAAAAAACAAAGGTACCGTTTTGTCACGGGGGTAGTTCTACAACGGAAGAAACTCGTGCGGCGTCCTGGCCAAGGCAGGCCAGGACAAGCCTTTATGCGCTTAGAGGCTAGGAGTTGCCCGATGGGATGGCTCCACCAAAGTCAGTAGCATTGGATCATGACCTCAAGTCCAATGGCCGGGGCACTCTCCTGGCTCAAACCGGTCCAT